TCAGGTAAATCATAACTGGCGTCATTTTCTAAGAGCTTCCTAAGACTAACTGAATAGTACTAGAAGGATGCAGGCCTCAGGAACCTTCCCACCTGATATTTAAGTGTTGCGTAACATCGGCGAAGCGCAGTACGCAGCAGTTATAGTGGATGAGTGCGTTCCCACCAACCCGGGAGTGTGGTGACACGTTGCTCTGCTAAATTAGTCTATTTTTACACGCTGAACTTCCAGAATGTCAAGCTCAGCCATTCAGATCGAGCCACACAGGAAGTCAAACACAAAAGCTGTGAAAGACATCCGTAAACTTTCTAAATAAAAGCCACAAACAGATTTCCTGTTGCTTTAGTAAAAAAAAAAAAAAGCTTGTTGTTACCTGTGAAAGCGCCGTAGTCGAGGTAAAGACAACAGAAAAGCACGAGTTTAACGGGTCTATTATATTATACGTCGCTTCCAGTGGAAAGGCCAAGCAATTCTTGGTCTTAGCCAAGCCAACTTTATTTATAAAGCACTTTAAACAGTCGGGAATAACCCAGAGTGCAAACACAAGATACTTTAAAACTGACGGGGCAAATAAAACAACAGTAAGATAACGTGGAGCTGAGTCACAGGCCAAAAGATGCATTCGGACTAGCCGTTAGCTTATCAGTCCTGCAAAACCCTCTCAATCAAGGCTCTTTAGGAACATGTGAGGTGGAAATCTTTAACAATTAAACTGAAACACACTTTAAAAAGCCCAGATTTGTAATTATTTATTGTGGCGGTAAATGAGGCAAGAGTTCTGATCTCTGCGTCTGGAGGCTAACTAGTCAATTAGCTTAATGCTGTCTACACATGATTAGCATTAAAGACGACAGAAGCACAATAGGTTGGGTCATATTAAGCCTTGTCTTGAACACACCTAGCATAAAAGGTGCCTGCTTTCTGACATCAGCACCCCCTCTGTGAGGATGCATTTAATTAAACATCTGAGCTTGTGTTAGCGCAGGAGTTGTCCAGTCGTTAGCTAACCTTTCCGGAAGCAGACGTCTGACCCTGGCTGCACCTTTCTCTGCTGCTGCTGTGGATCATAATACAGCCTCCCCTTGGGTCAACACCGAAAAACACCTTTTATCCAGGTGTGCATATCAGCGTGGCTCGGCTAATCCAGCCAGACTCTGCAGATTCAGGTAAACGAAGGAGTCCAGGCACGCCGTGTTTGTATAAATCTTTATTCAATATTACTTGTTTTCTGTGTGTATACAATAGTTGGACACAAACTGTACAGTGCAGACAAACTGTTTGCATAATAAATGTAAAGTTAACTGTACACGTACCGACAGACACAAGTAATCTCCTTTAGGTTTGGCACCAGTCACGTTGGGCTGTTTGGCTAATAGCTGGTGTTGTTTGCACAGGGAGGACACGGCACATCACACGCTGGCTTCTGCTGAAGACTGCTATACCCCGTGTCGCAGATTAAACCCAAAATCAAGGCAGGAAATGCTTCATGACAAAAAAGGATGCAACTGATCCAGAGAGGTGTGGAAGGCTGGCTGTAACTGAGCTGCTCTCGATCGCTTCTTCACAACGCGCTGCCATGAAGTATTTATTCTGCTTTCCCTTGTTTCAGATCAGCTAATCAGAATTTCAGACACAGATAGCTCGAGTAAATACAACATACAGCTTATGTTCACTCAGAAGTTAATAATGATAAACAAGATTATTTAGAAAGTGAATTTCTATTTTATTAATGGCACTCAGCCGTGATCACCACCAGACCTGTAGAGGAGGAAAAATCACTTCACAGAACCCATCTGCTAACGTGAGGTAGGCTAAAAGATCTCCAAAAGCATTAAAGCCCGGCAGAACCTGCCTCACATTTTTCAAATCAACCGTTGTGATGATACTCGAGAACTTTGGGAAAATAATCTGTGGACCAAAAAAAAAAAAAAGAGCTGGACTTTCTGGAAACTGGGCGTCTCGTTCCATCTGGAGTCAAACAAACACTAAAACAGCATCATACCAACAGTCAGACACGGAGGTGGTAGTGTGATGGTCTGGGGCTGAGAGAGAGCGTCTCTCACTTAGCATTCGCTTTGGGTATTTTTGTTCTGTTTTATGATCTGGAACATTTAAGGAAAGCAGGATACATCAGTAATGGGGACAACACTTTCACAGGGCTGTACCGCGCACATAGGAACAAACAGTCTTCACCCAAAGCAACTTTACTCCACCAGATGTGAAAGAAAACACAGAGAACAGCAGAACAATGACTTCTCCATGCATGTACATGTTTTAAAACCATTTCCTGCAGTCAGTCAACACAATTAAAGACGTCCCATCAGTCTGTTTAACACTGATTCACTCTTGCTTTGCAGCGGTGGATTATAATCTGGAAACAGAAAGCTGCTGAACCGGTGCAAACCAACAGCAGATAAAAGCCAAACGCCTCACTGGTTCTACGCTGCAACAAAGTTTGCATTTCTTAAATTACCACATGCATTAGCGCCCTGTTAGCTTTCGTGTTTTCAAAACCATGCAACAAGTGGGGAGACGATCGGAACTGAGGGAGGAGGTGAGAATACGATCTCTGCGTGATTACACAACAAGCAGAGAGCGAAAGCAAAGACAGTTCTGGTGAACAGAAGATTGGGGATCAAAGGATAATTGAAAAGTTAAATAGGGTGTGTGTGTGTGTGGTGGTGGTGGTGGGGGGGGGGGGGGGGGGGGGGGGCTCAGAGGAAAAAAGAAACAGCTGGGATGAGAGTAGTCCTCAGATTCAGATGTAATAAGGCAGGTTTTTGAGAGCGGAATAAAAGTAGAAGAAAAAAAAAAGGAGAGAGAACCTGAGGGAGGCGAGCTACATCATGAGTGCTAACCATTACATGTTCCTGTGGCTCTAAAGTGCTCCGGCGCTGCAGTGGTCAGGTCACAAAAGCTTTTTTTTTGTTCTCTTTCGTCTCGTGTCCATTTTGTCGCCTCCTGACTTCTGATTTCAGAGCCAGAGGCCATGCAGGGCAAGCTAAGATGGCTACATCGCCAAAAGAGCACTAGTGGTCCTTGGAAATAATAAGTCACACAGGTTGCTGCGATTGCTCACTTCTAATTAAATCAGCTGCTCTCCTCCTGCGCTATGAGATATTTTCATTATTGTAGCTCTGGTACCTGGCTAACCACCAGCGGAAAGGAAATCTCTGAGGAGATGCAGCCGGTAATTGTGCCAACCTGTCTGAACTGTGATCACCAGCCTGGAAACACTATTGTGGAAGCGTCTTTGGTCAGTATCCAGGAAACCAGTCGCTTTTTTTAACCCACAGATTTCCACAAAATGCTGTCGCATGACGGGAATCCTGCTGGGAATCTAACAAGTTGGGCTTTTCCCTCTGCCAGCAGACAAAAAGGGACTTCCTGTATTGGTTAATGTACAAAATCCTTTAATAAGGTCTCCTAGACACATGCAGCTGAGACGGCATAGGATACAGTAGGAATAAAACCTGATTGTCAGGGTTTAGCTGATCTTTTGTTGCCCCTAAATGTGACACGACAGTAAACACATTTCTTTTATTTAGATATTTTTAATGTGAGACGAACACAACACCAGACTCGTTCCTCGGTAACGGTATCCCACCAAACAGCAGATGGAATGGAGCTGAAGTCACTTTGAGGGAAGGGAAACGCTTTGATGCAGATCTACAGCCGCTCTGGACCTCAACCCTGTCACGCATTCTGGTTACCATAGCGATAACTACTGCGATGTGTGATGGTATAATTACACATAAAGCCTCGTTTATACGTGTCAGTCAGCAGGTAGCGAGCACACGTGTTGTCCTTGGTCTTAGTGTTGCGAACAGATTCTCCTCCAGGACAGCAGAGGGCGTAGCACTTTTCGGCAGTGTCCCGCCATGTGCTGCCTCCACCTCCAAACCTAAATCTTTCCGTAACTTTGGTTCAAGAATGAAAGATCTGCTGCGTATCTTAGTATTGTTTTCCACAAAACGTTCTTGAATCTGCTTCGTAGATATGGTTTGAGAGGAGATTGGTGGCGCTGTTGAGGAAGCTAACTCATTCACTGCCATTGACGACTAAAGTCGTCATTTGCATTTTTTTACTGTGGGCGTTGGAACAGCCCCCGTGCCGAGAGAGCAAATATCTCAGCTCCAAAGCCGATCTTCATCCGGAAACGTCACATGATCACGAAGCAGAAAATCTATGTGTTAGGAGATCGTTTAGAGCCGCTGCTGTAAAAAAAAGTGAGGCGCGAACCGAAAAAGCTTCTGCCGATCACAATTCAAAAACGGATTATGAAAGAACGGATAACGCTCAAAATGCGCAGAATCTTCCTGATGTAAGAGGTGAGTCTCCTCTTTGTTTTGGTTGTTTTGGCGTCGACATCATCCTAGCGCGTAACGTTCTGTGACTCTTAAAAAAACATTAAAAATGGCGAGAAACGGCTGGAAGCGAAGGGCTTTCGCAATCAGGAAACAGCTGGCAGCGAATGAGTTATAAGAAGCGACCAATCACAGGGTTGCGGTCTCCGTCCTTGCGAGCCTGTTGGAGAGCCCTTACAACGACGGATAATGGCGTTGCGTGTCTCCGCACCTCCACAGATGAAGAAGTATAAAGAAGACTTAAAGGTATAGCGGAGGATCTTTTTCCTCCGGGTGCATCATCTGAACCATCTGTCCGCATAACTGTTAATCACTCTCGTGAACCATTCCCGCAAGGCCGTCGTCGTTTGTGCTCGTTGCTGGGTAGTTTTCACTTCCTGCTCATGAGCAAAGCGAAGGTCGGGCTCCCCACAGACGCCTCTGTTGCCGGTTTTCTGCACGACAGGTAAGCTAAAGTTCAGCATGCTATGTGGAGAAATTCATTCCAGGTTACTGCTAGAAGTGCTGCGGAGCGTACACGAGGATAACTGGGCATTCTCTCTCATCCACACTTTTTCAAAGTGTGGAGAAATTCAGAAACATCCTAAGGCATACCTTTAGGTCGTCTCTTACAAACCCGAATGCATGAAAGGGTTAAATCCTGACCCAGAGCGAGGCACTCAGAGCTTCATTATTTCTTTATTTTCTCGTGAACAGACACAAAAAGCACCGTTCTGGTTTGATCTCGGCACCAACATTGCGGTTACAGTGATGTGAAGACAGATTGCCCCTCACTGATTCCTCCTTTTGCTATTATTTTTTTTTACACTTAAATGTTTTAGACGAACAAACAAATTTCAATTTCGAGACAATAACCCGAGTTCCTACAAAATGCAGTTTTTACTTTAGGTTTTCATTTATTTAAAAGAAAAAGGCCATTCAAACCAGTTTGGTCCAAAATAAAATAAAATATCCGCCCCTTTGTTAAAATCATGAAGGATGAGAATAACCAGATTATTTAGTGAGCTGGACTCAGTTCCACTACCCAAGCCCACACCAGATTACTACCATACCTGTAAAACCAAGGAATCACTTCAGGAGAATCTAGCAGCAGGGCTTAGGCTAAAAGATCTCAAAAAGCAATACATCTAGCCCGGTTCTAATGAAATTTAAAGGTGCAATAAGTGAGAATTTAGTAAGAATGACATCCTGTGGTCAAATTTGGGTGCTGCAGAAGAAAAACTATTCTCACTACCGTTCTTTTAGCTTTGTGGCTGTGGCCAGTTACGGATCAGCACCAGAAGATTCTAGATGACGAGCGAAGACGAGTCATACACAGTAAGATGACAAGTAGATAAATACATTGTCATATGCTGTTAGCGTGCCGTTATAATCCTAAACGACTCATCAAAGGAAGTAAAACGCCACCATTGAGTCGTTATTCACGTCACTCACATTTCACTGTAATATTGAGCTGTTGGTAACTAAAAAAAGTAGCTTGAGAATTCACCGTTAGCATTGTTAGCTAAATATTAGCTTCTAGCCTGCTTTACCTGATATTACAGTAAAACAAAAGATGTTGTGGCTTCTTAGGGGTACAAGAAACAACTTCTGGGTTGCTCCTGTTTACTGGCTTCAGTTCTTTAAACAGCTTTGGAGCTTTTTGAGCGTTGAAATACAAATGCTGGCGCTGCGGTGTTAATTTGGTGCAGACTTGGCAATCTCATGGGCTTACTGAGTATAAACGGTAACTACATCAAGGAGTAAAACTGACACCCCCCAGTGGGCTGAGGATGAAATCTGTTCATTAAAGGATTTCTAAAAAACAAAATCGAACATATTCCTGAAATGGGGACAGCTCACAATTGCTGCTTTAAGGTCAGAGGTCATGACAAATATCGAGGTCAGTAGGGGGAGTGCCATCTACGAGAGAGAGTTCTGAGGACAAAAGGAAAACCGAGACCTGCCTAACATTTACCAAACACCTTTTGATGATCCCCAAGGTATGCATCCGGTTCTACCTGAAGCCAAACTAACACTAAAACAACATCATAGCAACAGACAATCATGGTGGTGGCAGTGTGATGGTCTGGGGCTGCGCTGCTCCTTCAGGACACCATAACTGCATTTTGTATTTACTGAGGTTCTCAGTCTGATAGACATTATTTACGGATCTGAAACATTTAAATGTGACAAAAAGCAAAACAGAAGAAACCTGTAAGTGGGCAAAAGCATTTTCACAGCACTAAAAATAATGAAAGATCTTTTAAAACTCCATCGTTTAAAGGCTGAAACGATAAACCTCTGTGCACAGAGTCAGAGTAGCTCGTGTAATGAAATGTTCTGGTCAGCGAGTGCCAGATAAGACTAATAAGATCAGAGAAGAAGTGAGAAATGTGCTGTATGTGAGAAAAATCTCAGAAATGTCAATTAGAAACACTGTGAGGTCTGTAACGTCCTCCTTACGAATCAGAGGCTCGACACTGGCGTGCAGCGGCACACGGCTCACCTGCTAAACAGATGCAGACCTGCAGCCGAGGCTGCGGCGGTTTCGTTTGATGTGAGGGTGAATCACGCAGCCTTGATTTCTGCCAGGAGGCTGCTTTGTCTCCTGTTTCCTTTGTAGCTGCGACAACACTGGCGGAGGTCATCAATCTTGAGCGAAACAGGACGGTGCTCCAATCATCCCATTAATGCACGGGGGGGGGGGGGGGTCCAAAGTTGGGATTCAAGGCTCTTTTACCTTCCACCTTACAGACGATTTGCATCGTTGTCACTAATCTGAAGAGTGGGATCACAGTATTGACACATCTGACCACTAGCTTGGGACTTGAAGCGATTGGTGTCTAGTCTTTCGGTCAAGGACAAGTTAGTAAACACACAAATTAGTGCCATGTTGGCTGTCACAGTGAGAGGGTGGTTTCGTGTTTTCAATTTGTATTTAAGGACTTCATGGTGTAAACAAACCCATGTTTTTGATTAATACTGGAGCTGACGTGTGCTCTTATTGGTTCGGGTGGTTTTCTCCGCTCTCGTTGACTAGAGAACTCCGAGTCCATTGTGCGGACTGATTTAAAGCCGTCCTGCTGTGCCGATACAAGCTTAGACTATTAAATCAACGTACAGAACAAGAACCGGACTCTGACAGTAAGTTTAGCTTGTACGTTCACGAAATTAACTGTTGACAATGAGGAAAAACATGACTCATCACTTTTTTAAATAGATGTTTTGTGTCTAACGTGCACAACCGGACCGTCTACGTGAACGAATGACCACACTACCACCACAAAGGCACATAGAAGAAGAACTTCACCATTTATGGGGGCAACAAGGAGGAAAAAAGTGGATGAATCAGCATTTTTATGTAAGGAACCTGATGTGTGGAACGTCAGTCCAAGTGTGGAAGGTGAGAACAGGCAACAAAAAGAAAATGGACCCAATTAGAGGTGCAAAAACTATGAAAATCACGTCTCCATTTCATCATCAAGTATTTGCTTCTACTTCTCAAAAGAGCTCATAGACCATCTGTATTGGGCCAAAGATGAAATGATTCCATAAGAATGTTTAAAAATGGGGAGAAAAGATCCAAAAAGTGACTTGTGCTAAAATGTACCTTTTCTTTCCTTCCTAAGCTGAGCTAGAGTCCACCTCAAGCAGAAAGCGACGCACCGAGGCGGTGGTAACAGTCTCAAAATGTCTTCTACATGCTACTTTATCCAAACCGGCTGAGGATAATCCCCAACCTTTGGCTGAATGTTGATATGAATAAAATCCTGGTGGGAATACGACTCTGATGTGTTCGTCCCAATTCTAGCTCACAGCTCCTGGTCATCGCTGGCATGGCCCTCCGCCCACTAATACCCTGATTCCTGCTTTGTTTTCAAGTACTCGTGAAGGCATAAAATCACCACGCCCCTCTCTGCTACTCTATGTAAACACTGACTGCTACCGTGCTGTTCGGACTCCGGAAACCCTCACATCCGCTCCTTGTTGCTACAGTTTGGGAATTCTGGGGGGAGATGTACTTGTTAAGGTGTACTGGGTTCTCCAGAGCTGGGAGCGCTCGTTTGTGCACGAGGAAACTAGTAAATCCACCAAAGGAAAGTTCGTGCTTTAGGTTTGTGGGTTTTTTACGAGACAGATGAAAAAGCGGACAGGTCAGTGGTGAGTTTGCTGTGAATGTGATGCACTCCCCCCTGCTTTCTGCTGCAACGACCTGTTCTGCATCCTAATTGATTGATGACTAAGCTCCTTCTGATTCACAGGGGCTTTTTGTTTGAAACGTTCTCTTTGCAGAGCATGTGCGGATGCTTCTAACGTACTTAAAGATCGGATCCTGGTGGTCGATTTTGAGCCAAGTTGGGGAGCACGTGTATCTGTGGCCACTGGCGAGCGAACGTACCTGGCAACAACATAAAATTATAAGCAGATTGTCTCAAAAGAAGAAGTGACAATGGTATTTTTCAGATTTTTGTTTGCAGTGTTTATGTATATGTATATTTATCCAAGTCCTCCTGACCGGTGTATGCCAGGGTCCCACTTCAGAAGCATCTGTCTGGCTGATTTTACTGTCGCCGCCACAAACTGCATTTTAGTCACTCTGGCGTTGCCCCACGACTCTGTCCAGTAGGGAGAGGCGAGGCGAGGCGAGACGGGGTGGGGCGGGGCGAGGCGTTCAACCCCTAGGCTGTCCAACCAGAGCTTATCTTTTATTACCTTTAGTTGCAGTTTTGTTTTTTGAGAGCGCAGCAGCGGTACAAGTCTGTGGCTTTTCCTGGCTTCCAGTCAGCTGGGGGGGTGGGAGGTGGAGATGAAGGGCGGGGTTATGTCTCCTCCTTGCTGGGTTTGCTGACTGGCTTGCCACCATTCATGACCACAGGCTCGCAGGTTGTGCTTTTTGAAGGCGGGCCCCCTGCGAGTTTAGGCACCGCCTCCCCTACATCGTGTAACGACGGCTCTCGGTACATTGCAACTGGAAATAACAAAAATCAAGAGAATTAAGAATAAAAATCAGGAAACCGTTTCTAAAGTTGGGATTTGATAAATAATGTCACCTTCTATAGGTTTAGGCAGAAAGTGAGCAGCTGGTTTGGTCTTCTTGACCCTGTTGCCTTTCATGACCTGTCCCTCTTTATTGAGGCCCAGAAACCAGGCCCGACCCGACTCCTTCTGTCTGTAGAGCATCGAGCTGTAGATTACATAGTAGTTCTCAAACACCGACTCTTTAAACTTGCACTCAGCTGTAAACAGTTCCTGGAAAGACAAACAGACAAACAGACGCACTGATCACATCGGATGTCCCTTTGGTCGCACTCGGTGCTTCTCTGCTGACATGATGACAGCTGTGATCTGGACTTGTGTAAAGATCCTTAACTTAGACGAAGAAACTCCGCCAAACAAATACAGATGAAAAAGCTACAGGCTCACTGAGCTCCATGTGAAATCAGACACCTGTTCTAATCTCATCTAATCTATTCTAGTTTAATGTTTAAATTTTGCACACTCATTAATTTATTTGCAGACAGATTTTGAAAATGATAGACTAGAGCTATTAAGCACAGCAATAAATGTTATATTCACCACATATTTAAGAACATTTGTGTTTTTTTTGGACTTCCTGATGAAAACTCCAAAGGGAAATGCTCATAAACCAAATGCAGGAGTGCCTCAGGGATGTGTACTTGGTCCTTTAAACATTACTCTGCTAACACGTCACTATAGCAACAAAACCCTGCCTAACTGCATGTTACATTTCTACATATTAAAGACCCAACAACTGTTACAATATGTGATTGGTGCCTGCTTGTTTAGCATGCTTTTTAATAGATTTACCACTCGTTGATGTTCAGAATCACAGACCTAACCGAGAAAGAAAGACTTAACAAATAAAGCATAAATGAAGAGTGAGACAAGTATTTTTTTGCGTAATTTCCCTGACGTGTACAAACTAAACAGATTAAAAGAAGACGAACGATTCCTGTGACACAAAGCCCAAAACGTCTCACCTTCCCACCTACATCTGCTCAGCTGTTATGTGTCAAAACTCTTTTCCATGGCTGCCGGCGCCTCCCGCAGAGCAAGCTTCAGCAGAGGAACGAGGTGTTATTCTTACTGGGGGAGAAATCCTGTCTCGCTCGTGTCTGCCAGGGCTTCCAATTCCCAGCAAGCAAAAGAAGGCAGCTTGTGATGAAATATTCTTTGTTTGGGGAGGAGGTCAAAGCTTTTCCATCTACAGTTATGGTACATCTCAATTCCTACAAGGATTGTGTTTTAACACGTAGTCTGCTTTTACAGCTTTTATATAAGCGAACATAAACATGAGGTTTAGTTTAGTCTTTGCATGTGAAAAAGGCCAATTTCATATTGTTAAATTTACAGAAATGAACAAAATGAGACATCTGCTGAAGAAATGGTGTTAATATACTGGCCCTCATATGACAAGAAGGCTCCTGCCAACCCAAACAATCACTCCCGAGGTCCCTCGACCCCAGATAGGGAAGTGTTTGTCTAGACTGTCTCTTATTGGCTCCTGTAGGCGGCCTGCCAGAGCCACAGACACATTGTCATTCAGCTCAGGTTTGTCGGTCCGAGTCTCATAGCAACATGAGGAAGAGAGCAACACAGTAGCCGTGGCAACCAACCAGCACCGAGAGGGTGGGGTCAGTGGATGTGGAGAGGCTACGAGAGTGAAAGATAAACATACACAAGCATAAACACATGCATTGGTGATCCAACAGCAATAACGTGCTCCAGCACACAGACGTGACACACCTATTGAAGGGCAGCTGTGGGGGGTGCAGATGGGGGTGCGTGCACAAACACAAACTTGTGGCTCTGGGGGAAGAGCGGAAGGAGGTGCAGGGACGTGGCCAAGCCGTTAGCTGATAGCACAACCAGACAGGTGATAATGAATGAACGCTCCATTTATCGGCGATGTCAGCCAACACACAAACAACATATCAAATGTTCAGCTGGGTTGGATTTACACCGCGGCGTGGCTGCTCCCTCAGCCGCTTTGGGCATTAAATAACTTAATTATATTTGTATTTAGTCTGGACCTGTAACCCTGGATTCATTATTCATCTGTGAAGAAGGACGGTCTTCGCTGGTGGGCAGAGAGCGGTGCCAGACACTTATTAATGTTGGTCAGCCAGGTCATTCATCATTTAACGGTGCTTTTAGAATAAAAGAAATGTGATGTCTAAAGCAAAGCGGACAAGTGAACCGGTGCTACAGGTGAGTCATTTCACCCAAGCGCCCGCCTGAACGCGTTTCTGCCGTCATTTCTAAAGAGCTGTGTTCGACAGACGACAGGCAGGCATGAATGAAAGGAACGGAGGGCGGGAGGCGAGGAGGGCTTGAAAATTGGGACATGAAGGAGGGGGGGGAGAATAAATCACCAAGTGAGGAGGACGATGCCTCCTGATTGGAAAAACAGCAGGGGATTCTCTCTCTCTCTCTCTCTCTCTCTCTCTCTCTCATCATGCCTGTTTTTCCCTCCTCTGTCACTTCTCTGTTGCTCTGCGGAGATTCGCTACACACATGCTTGCATGTTGTCATCCTTTGAATTACGGCCGCGCACGCGCGTGCACACCCTGCTTCAGCTGTTGATCAGCCAGCCATAATCAGCTAGGAGAGCCCATTAGCATGTTAGACATCCCGCTCCGAAACAGCCCAAATTGGTACAGACAGCGCTTTGTCCCTCGTCAATTAGAGACCCAAAAATAAGGATTTCAAAACCAGGAACAAAGAGATTCAACCCAGAGTCCTTGTCTAGTGCGCAGCAGCACTGCAAAAACAAAACTTGGTAACTGGCTGCTTTGTGCAACCACAGCGTGTCTGCTGGACCTTTTGGGTCGAGGCACAATAAAACACGGTGTATAATTACTGCCGCCGCGCCTTTTCTGTGATGTTTTTTAGTTACCAAAGCTACTTGTCTGCAGACAATCAGGAACATGTGTTGTTAAATGGAGGCTAATGAGGAGCATTAAATACACTCTTGAGGGGAAGTGAAGCTGAGAGCTGAGGCCTTGCAGGAAGATGCTGAGCAACAAGGTTTGATTTATACTCAGTCATCATCTCTGGAGAAATCCTACATATGCTGGACTAACGGATTAGCTAGGCTCTTTTATCCCCCTGTAGTAACATCACCTTGGCAACACATGCAATAACCACATAACCATCTTTGGGGCTTTTTATATTCAGAGATTAGGATTAAATTATTAATAGAAGTGCTTTAATACTTGAGATTTGTTACCCAGTGATACCCCAGATATACAAAATGAAGAGTAATCTAATCCTGGCTGATTTTGGTCCCTTTAACGACACCTGAAGGTTGACATTGAGTAAAGACAGCATCTCTGACTCAAATCACAGAGTTTTGACAGAGGAGCTTCCCAATCATCTCAAAAGACGTGCCAAACCTTGCCATTGTACGGGAGTGTATTTCCATCTGTGCACCAAAGAAAATAAAAAAGAAGAATCTCATAAAAACAACATATAAACATTGTTTGAATTAAAACGTTTCTTATGAAAACGTGTTCATAGGGTTAGGTGAAGGCCCTTACCCTACGAACAACGAAGTCTATGCAGTAAAATGGCGACACACGTTTTGGCGTTCTGCTTCGAACAAACAATGCAATTATTTCAGTTTTTGATGTTTAAAGAGCAAGTCACCCCCTACCAGAGTCTGACTACACCCACACTTCCTGTTTGAGAATTACACCAAAGGAAGGCCCTAGATAAAAAAAAAAAGACTACATGTGTCGATAGCACTATTATCCCTTTTCCAACAGCACCACTCAGCGTGACATGGACGGGTGTGGTCTTTTCCAACAGGACGGTATTTCCCCCCAACTTTTTAGTACCTGCTTCCATGTGGCTCCCAGCGTGCTGACCCAGTCCGACAATGTGACGCCAGTTATTTTCGGCCACCGATTGGCTAGAGGATGGAGTCTCTGGTTGTTCCAGAGCTTTCTGCCTGCAGCCATTTTTAGGTTCACAACCGGCCAAAAAGCCAGATAGTGAGCAGAATAATTTTGTGGGGGATAAAGATCACCTTGTGTTATTTACAGATAACCTCGTGCAATTTTTGTCTGGAGCAAAGATCGCGAATGCCATTAACCCCCCCCCCACACACACACACACACACACACACACACACACACACGACGGACGCAACCACTCGTCACGGAATTGGCAAGCAAAGCCAACTACACTGAAGTGAGCTGTGTTAACCCATCCTGTACAGAACAGTTTTGGATTGAGTGGTGCTGATGGAAAAGGGCTATATACACCATTTTAAACACCTTAAAATTGGGGGCTTGTCCGGGATCTTTAATAAAGTTAACCAAGAAAAATTGAAGCAAATAAAAGGAAGGATGAGAGGAGCAATAGAAGAACTCTGAACCACCAGAAAGAAAAGCTTATTCAGATTAGTTTGTTAGCTATTGATTTTTAAAGGTCAACTTTACTCATATTTATTTGCAGTGGTCTCTTGTAGGAATGAATGCCTTGTGAGTCATTCTCTAGGGAAAAAAACACCTGTGCACTTGCTTGAGGATGTTGAAGTCAGTCAAAGGAGAAAGAGGCAGCAGACGACAGGATTTGATGTCTTATTTCCTGACATTTGGACATCTCTCCTGTGATTGGCTAACAGCAACATGACTCTACCACTGACTCCACAAATAACACAAGCCTGGCGGAGTTCTGCTGTGTGGTGGAGCTGCTAATGCTAACGGTTAGCTTCTACTAGCCAAGATATTCTCTGCTAATTTACAAACGGGTGTGTCCATGAATGTTAAGCGACAATGTGACATAGATCTGCCTGGATTTACTTTTAGAAGCTACTGCAGGAGACAGGGATAGAAGACTATTTTCACGTCAAGCCTGCATTTCAAATGCAGATTGATCATTTTTGAAAATACTAAGTAAAAAATGGTTTCTCAGTGAGCCTGGCCTTTAAGTTTCACGTTTGTGTCCAAACAGCAGACACAAAGAAGCCCTGAATGAGTAGCTGACCCAAACCTCCTTAGAAAAGCTATCAACGATAGCCCTTGGACAGCCTGAGATGTGTCCTCCCCTCCAGGCTGTTAACAGCTACCACCCACTCGGTATCTAATGAAGAAGTTTTTGCTCTTACACACCGCTGAGATTCAAATTCTCAGTTGAAATGAATGAAAAATGTAAACAGCATTCCTTCTTAATTACACAGCAGCCCTCTCCTATTCAGCAGGGAAACAAGCTAAAGCTCT